TTTCTTTTTTTTTTTACACAATGAGCGTGGGACAAGTTTTGAGTCAATGGATCAATTATTAAAATAAGTCAAGTATAAAACTGACCCAAATAAAAGTGAATCAATATTTAAACCCAGTTAAAAAAAAAAGTATTTCTAGGTCAGATCAAGGTCAGATTAAGAGTAGGCAAGTGAACCATTTTTTTGCATAACTGATAAACCTTTGGTTTACCATATTTTTAGGCTAAATACAAGAGTTATGTAGTAGAATGCATGGAATTCAAGGTTTTACAATATAGAAATCATAAGATAGGAAATTGAGCTGACGTTTTGATGATATATGCATTTTGAAGGTAAAACCACAAGAATTGGTGCTAAAAGTGCTAAAGAAATCATGACAAAGAAGTAGCGGTTCAATATGGACCAAGGGTGGCCAAAATCTTACAAGTTAAGAGCCAGAAAAGAACACTCAAGTGCACAACAGGACGCTCGAGCGCTTGAAAGGAGGAAAAACAGCCAAACTGGGCGCAACAGGACGCTCAAGCGCACAGATGCACGCTCCAGCGCCCAAGAATACAAAAATTCAGACTCGAGGAGCACGCTCGAGCTCCCAGTAGCACGCTTGAGCGTGCTCAGGCAGACAGAAATAGCAATTTGAAACAATTCAGGACGCTCAAGCGGCCAACAGCACGATTGAGCGCCCAAGCACATCCTGACAGCAAAGATTTGACAAATTTTAATGAAGATTTGCTGAGATTTTTCAATGGATATAAGATTTTGATATCCGAAATTAAAGCGGAAGCATATCAAACCTGATTTAAAGAGATTCATGGAAGATTAAAGCAAGATTATAACAAGATTCAAAGTCAAAAATCTGACACCAATCTACAAGATCTTAAATGCAAAAAGGAAACAATTGTAGAATCAACTACAAATCTGATACAGATTCGGTGAGAGATGCAATGAATGATACAACTCCAATGGCTATAAATAAGGAGCTTGGGTCAGACCAAAACACCAATTCACAAGTCCAGAGCATTACACCAAGACTGAAGGAGGAATCCTGTTGCGGAGCGCTGGAACACTGAGGAACCAAGTCAACATCACACCAATGGAGGCTTGGGGTTCTCTTTTCTTTATCATTGTTTTTCAATTTAGTATGTCAGAGTAGTCTTTTATGTAGTTAGGGGTAGACGGAACCCAATTGAATCTTTATGTTTATGAATTAAGTTGTTCTTGAATTCTTTTCTTTTTATAATTGAATGAATTTATCTGTCTTTAATGCTTTCTATGAGTTTGCTCCTTATAGAATGATTTTGGGGAATTGTATGACAATAGAGATGTTGGTGCATGAACCCTGACTTGATAAATTTATCACAATCCTTGTGATCTAGGGATAGACATAGGGTAATTGTGCAATCTTGGAATTCTTGATCTTAATGCATGCTTTCTTGGGGAATAACCAGGGAACTAGGGCTCTTCTGAGATCACATAGATTTAGGGTAACAAGGAATTGAGCCCTAATTAACTTAGAAAGAATTGATTGGCAATATATTAAGAACGGATTCTTGACAGTTTAATTCATAACATATTGAGGAAATTGGGAGAAGTCGAAACCTTAACTACGCTTGTTTTAAATTCTTAATCAAACATCATCCTTTCATTCATTCTTTTTAATTCTGAAATTTCTTGATTGAATGTTATTACTTATTTTTAATTTTTAAAGTTCTTCAATTATAATTCTCTCAAATCCAATTCTTGATTGTCCAATTAAGACGCAATTAGCGAACTAGTGCTTGAAGATTCTGATCCTCGTCGGAACAATTTCGTATTCTGGTACACTTTATTACTTTATGACCGGTGCACTTGCCGAGTCGCAACAAGTATTTATGGGTCAGATCAATGTCAGATTAAGAGTAGGCAAGTGAACCATTTTTTTGCATAACCCTAATTGCTTCAAGTTCGGGCCTCATCAAGGGCCTAGAAGATGAGCCCAGGACATATGCTAGACCACGAAAATCATTTTGAAGGGTATGTTTGATTTCTATTCTTAAATTTTTTTTTTTAGTTTTTAAAACAAAAAAGTAAAAAAAAAAAAAACTAGTTTGGAGGAAAATGAATCCCAAAACACAAGATTGTTTTTAGTTTTAAAAACTAAAGAAGCAAAACAATTTAGGGATGTTTTTTTTTTTTTACGGTGGCAATTTTGTAAATATAAGGATTCATTAATGACATTTTTATAAATAAATTTAATTTTTTTTATTTTAAATTACTTTATGATGACAATCTTGTAATTATGAAACTTCATTAATGGTATTTTTGTAAATAATTGTAACTTCTTTATAACTTTAAATTTAACTATACTCAAATAAATTCTATTGTTCTTTTACTCTCAAAATTTGTTTTCAAAATTTATGTTAAAAAACAATTTTTTAAAAAACACAAAAAAATAAAATCACATTCAAACAAACCTGTTTTGGGTGTTGTTTCCCATTTACCTACCAGAATGGAGAGATTAGGGCACCCACACCAAGCTTAGCATTAGGGGTGTAAATAGGTTGAGTTATACTAAGCTTTGATTTAAATAGGTCAAGTCTGTGTAAAAAAATTTAGACCTGATCTGGTCTGTTAGCCTATGTAGGCCCAAATTACAAGTCTGGTTTGACCTATATTTTTTTTTAAAAAAGTCAAATCTAGGCCTGTTAGCTTATTTAAACATATTAAATATTCAATAATTAAAAAAATAACTAAAATAATATTATTTTATTATTCAAATTTATTAAGATAATAATTTTATTTACTTTATTTAAAATAAATAATATAATATAGGTCGACCTGTAGTTTTATAGGCTTGACATGTACAAAAAAATCTAGAACCTGTTTTCTAAGTAATTTTTTTTTAAGTTTAGGCTTGTTCTATTTGACTAATTATAATAAGTTAAATTTGATCTAATAAAAACTAGGCCGTAGGTCCGGTCTAACCTATTTACCTCCCTACTTAGCATGATATAATAATGGTGGGTTGGAGAAAATGGCTCTTGATATAATAACGATTCACATGCATATCACATGATGTCATGTTAACTCTATCATCAAACGTTTCCAATATGCTCCCTTTTAAGTCACTAACAATTAATTCCTTATAACGTATTTCCAAACAAAATCTTGTTTTCAGATTATACTGTTTGCCAAAGTGCATAATCAGATTATACTGTTTGCCAAAGTGCATATAGTGGCACAATTTGAATTTGCTTATTATCCACGCATTTTAAAAAACTAAAAATAAAAAAGAGATGCATCGAAGTAATTTTCTTTTTACAATTATCACACAACTAAAATACAGTGCGGATAATTAGTGATATCTGATGTCAAGAATTTTGCGTCCTTGATCTAGTCATACAAAGTGACTTGTAATTTATGATTATCTCTCCTTCAATTAGGGGTGGATCAAGGGAGGGATAGTATCGGTGGTTGTCCCTCCCTAAATTTTTTTTTTTTTTTTTATGTATAAAATAACATTTTTTAATAATAATAGGCTATTAATTTTAATATATAACCTCTCCTTTAAAAATATTTATAATAGCTGGTATTTCTTATTAATCTTAATAATACTTAAAATTTAAAAATTTATTTTCGTCCCTATTATAAAAAATTCTAGATAGTGCCTTCAACTCCTACATTTATATTGAATAAAAAATGATAAAATTAAAATTTTACAGCAAGAAATCTTCGATTTCACTATAGACTGTTTTTATTTTAGATTAATTGAATCACTCGAATAAAGTATTGATATGATTTAAAAAAATAATATCACAAATAATTATTAATATGTATTAAGATTTATCAAGCTTGCTCCAAATATGAAATTTAATACTTGTCACTATGATAGTGTTGGAATAATTAAATGCATTGTTTTGAATTAGGTAAGGTGACAAAAAAACACAGAAGACAATTTTTTTTTTAAATTTTTTTGAGATGGTAATGAATATCATGTTATTCTGAATTGAGTAAAACAAGAATTGGTAACAAATTTCTTAATAAAACAATAATTAAATCTTAATACATCCGTTTACTTATAAAACTTGGAATTCGAATATTAGAAAGAAAGAAAGAAATGTATTAACCAATGAAGTTATTAACAATCATTGTAGAATTGTTTACTTTACATTTGTTAAGAATACCACTAGATTTAGCGAAAAGTGCTTCTTTCTGTGGTTGGTTAAAAGTCCTTTTGAGAGAAAAGTCTGTTTACTTTTTACCTCCAAAGAGTTCTTAAGAATAGCATTTGATACAACTAATCCTATAATTAACACTTATCTTTGCCCCTTTGGTTAAACATTTATCCAATTTAAGATTTTCTCGAAGAGGCCCCACTACCGCTTTTACCCCATGCAGAATAAAGACAAAAATCCAAAGGATCCCACTTCCTCAACCTCCTTTTCCTAAAATAGTACTATATATATTGTTATACTAATATATAAATAATTAACAATCACACAACGCTATCCTTCCATTTGGAACCGAATAACAAAACAATTGATCAATTAGTTACATTATATAAAGGGATTTGCTAATTCAATTAAGGGAAAAACTACTCTTATATTACATGTGATAATTTTTTCTCCTACACATATTTTGATAACTGTGCCATTTTTTTTCAAGTGATGGAGCCCACAAATTATCTCTATGACATGAGATAATTTATCTCCTTTAACATGAGATTAATAAAATCCTTAAATTAATAACTTAAATATGGTTATTTCCATTTCCATCGACCAAGCATTAACATTTGGCAAGCGTTATATGTGTTGGAAAAACATAGTGATTCGTGATAACTTATTTGTCTTTCTCTCTCTTTTTGTTTGGTTGTGTCTACTGTACTGTTTCGGTTTATGTTTCATCTCAGCAGCAGAATCAAATCTATCATTCACACCATTCATTCAATTCTCTTCCTTCGGTTTCGCATTTTTTCCAAAATAAAAATCAAAACTTTGTTTTAAACTTTAAACCCCCCCTAACATTTCGCCCCCAGAATCTTATTTCCTTTATTCAGAATCACCGTTCTTCTTCGCTTCCCATTTTCACCACCTTTCTCTTTGGTGGGGTTCTTCTTCTTCCTCCTCCTCCTCCTCTTCTTCTTCTTGTGGAAAATGGCGACAAGTATAGGCATTATGGATAGTGGGTACTTTGTCGGCAGGAACGAGATTCTTACTTGGATCAACAACCGTCTTCACCTTAATCTCTCTCGCATTGAGGAGGTAAACTATTTGGTTCTTGCCATGTTCCTTAAACAAACCTTTTTTGCTCTTTTTTTTTTTTTTTTCAAAAAAAGAGAGAAATGGGGTTGGTTTCTTCCTTCTGTTTCTCTCATTGAGTGTGTTTTTTATGTGGTAATCTGAAAGTCATTGGTTCTTTTCTTGTGGGGGGTGCTTATATTTGTAATGCATTTTATTACCCCTTCTTTCGTTCATAATGGCATATGCGATTCCTATGCGTATTTCGGAAGAATGTTATCTCTGTGTGGGTTTTTATTTAATGGTGTCATTAAAAGAATGAGAAACTGGTTCTGCTGTAAACTTTCTTTTCAATAACTTGCTAGAAAGACCTAAGATGGAGTTTCTTAAGATGGTTTCACTGAATAAGGTGGGGTAAGCAAACCTTCAGAGGATTAAGATGGAATCTTGAAATATTAATTGAATGTGAGCAATTGTTTCACCTTCAGAGAATTTTGAAGAAAATATTCAATGTTTTAAAAAATAAAATAAAATTTCGCTCTCTTTTTTCTCTAGTTACAACAAATTGTCCAACACTGCACTTACGTATGCACCACTTGTTATGAGTTTTGAAAAGAATTTGGACAATTAAGGATGTTGATGATTACAGTTGCCGACTACCATTGTTTTTGCATCAAATTGTCTGTGTTATTTTTCCTTTTCCATTTTCCTTTATTCTAAAAGCCATATTGGGGTAATGATTCTATTTCATTATTAGAAAAAGAGTACAATAGTGACAGAAAAGCTGATTAGTTAATGCTTAATGCTTAAGTTAATTGAACCTATGATCTATGATGAAAATGTACTTTTTGGTTCTGATTCTGATTATGTCTAATGCACTTGGCTAGGCTGCATCTGGTGCTGTACAATGCCAGGTGATGGACATGACATATCCAGGGGTTGTTCCAATGCACAAGGTGGCAACATGACTTTGCTTTTAACTTTTTTTTATGCTTTTCTGTATTTTATTTCTATGAAGATTAATTTTTGGAATTTGGGTTTATTCTAGGTGAATTTTGATGCAAAGACAGAGTATGATATGATCCAGAATTACAAAGTTCTACAGGAGGTGTTCAACAAGCTGAAAATTGAGAAGGTATCTGTTTCTTCTCATCACAATGTTAGGCAGAACACTTGGAAGAGAGCTCTGCTTTAGTAAATATTAAAGGAAGAATTAACGGTGTGATGGCTTATTATAACTTTTTAATTTAGCATCAAAACCAACATTTCTTTGTTTAAGGCTTTAAATTTTCAATGGAATGATTTACCACCAATAAAATTTTATCATACAGGGAAATAGTGCGTTAATCAAGGCTTAGAAGTTCTAAATGAGGGATAATTTGATTCCATTCCAAGTCTATATTAGTGAGATTACCTATTCTTTATTTATGTTTCCCTCTCCCCTTCCTCTGCACCAATTTACGTTGTTATGTTTGCATTACTGGTGGACTGCAACTTTTGGGGATTATCTCTTCAGGCTGGTTGGCTTAGCCTACATAATAGATTTGATGGAGGACAAGCTTGTCATGCATTCTGGGTTTGATGCTCACATTCCAGTTTCATCCATGCAATCCCTGTTTCACTGGTTGCATAATTTTTATGCCAGGGTGTGAATGTTCCTCACGATTTTATAGTGAATGTATTTTCAGATGATAACTTTCCTCAAGATTGAAAACTAGTATAAGAAAATACTTTGGCAGAACCAATAGTTGATGTTTGCATTTATTGGGCTAACTTGACTACCCTGTGGCAGCATATTGAAGTCAACAGGCTCATTAAAGGCCGGCCTTTGGACAATTTGGAGTTCCTACAATGGCTGAAACGTTACTGTGATTCTGTGAATGGTGGCATTATGAATGAGTATGCTACTTGCTTTGAGTTGCTTGTGAACCTTTAAACATCTTTGATTATTGCAGTTTCTATATTACTTGTAGGATACTTAATTGTATCATTTCTTGTAATGCATATTTATACTGATATTCAGATATGCAATCTTATACCATGCATATATGTTCTCGTATTGAACTGTATATATTTTATCAAATCTTTTCGTTTTTTATTTTTTGCAGGAATTATGATCCTGTGAAGCGTAGGAGTAAGGGTGGAAAGGATCAAAATGTTAAGAGTCTGAAGAGCTCAAAATCACTGCAAACAAATACCATGAGTAATTCTGGCTCGGATGATGCACTCAGTACAAATAGAACCTCTGGTTGGCTTCTTGATGTCTTTTATCTTAAATTGTTTAGAATCTTCTCCTGATGGTTTTTCCATGTTACTCTACCTTCTTTTTTCTCATCCTTTTCTGTTTTCCTTTTTGGGTTTATGTCTTTATGAGTGTAGGGTCCAAGCAATTGAGGTCAAGTGGAGGAGTAGGTGGGGCTAATTCTTCAGCAGAGATTCATGCTTTGTCCAAGCAGGTATGACCTACATTAGGTTTGGTGTACCTAAGACAGTTATAGAAATGCTATACAAGATAAACCTCCTTTAAGCATTGGGGCATAACTGTATACGATAATACATAGCCAAAGAAGCCCTTGGACTTATAATAGAATTCTATACCCCAAGGAAATTGCTACATGTACGTATTGTATAGACATTGTTGATTTTCCTGATGCTTGAACCTAATGGTATATATATGAATGTGCTTTCACAGTATCAGTGGCCTAACAATCGGTTAGTTCTTATATTGTTATCACTGTTGAAAGTTTTTCACCTGATAATTTAATGAAAAAATTATTTACCTTTTTACTTTATTCATTGTTCACTATATATTCTCCTTTCTGTTTCTCAGGTTACCGATCTCAAACTCTCAGTGGATCAGTTGGAAAAAGAAAGAGACTTTTACTTTTCAAAACTACGGGATATAGAAATTGTTTGTCAGGAATTGGAGAATGATCCTGTAAGAATTCTAATGAATTCTTGGCATTGACATGTTTACTTGGAAGTTGTTTCATATTGTTCATGCGTTTTGTTAATTGGATGGGATATGGTATGGTCTCCCTTGAATTTTGAATTCCTATATTTCTCTTGTCAAATGGAAATATTCTTATAGGGTTTTGGAACTTTATGATAACAATCGTTTTCTACCCTTATCTGACCAATTTGGTGTTTCTGCCTCATCTTTAATTATTACATGTATTGTAAACCCTCTATACCTTTCTGAAGCTGTGTATATGTTTGCTTTTGTATGATTCAGGTGAATGATGGTGTTATGTATTGGTATTTGAAACTGCTTAATGTTCTTTTTATATTTAAAAATAATCCATTCCTTAACCTGGGTTAAGAATCCAAAATAGCTCAAGATTGTGGCCAAATCATAAAGTATTTGAACATCAGGGGTTGTTAAAAAGGAAATTGAGCATTCATTTAAAATGAATTAAATAAACCTAATCATGTGTTATGTTTGTTTATGCAGATGTCTATAGCAATTAAGAAGATTTTGTATGCTGCTGATGCAATGGAATCACCGTTAGATGAAGCTCGGGATTACCTTATCCAAACTATGAATGCTGTTGAAGCTGAAGCAGAAACCGAAGCCTGATTACTCCCAAAAATAGCTCCTGGCCAGTATGCATAAAATATTTGCCAGGGTCCTTGTTAAACAAGCTCAGTGCCATCTGTGATGACAAAACTGGTAATCCTTCGCCGTTCCATGGCGCTATAAAGCGCCATTTGATGACATAGTAGTAGCTGTATGGTGCTTTTTGTATTCTTCTTGTAAGCCTGGATGATAATCAGAGGATAGTATGGCTGATTTTTCCAATAAATAAAGTTCATCTCGTCATCCTTTTCATGGTTTAGAAATGGATGTGGTATAGCCATTGTATTTAGCATGTATTGGAGTTTCTTTGCTGTATAAAATTAGCTGCCAAGCCTTCTAAATACCTGTTGATGTCTGAAATAATTCTGATCTAAAATGACTCAATTGCTTTACTTTGTCCAATTTCGCTTTGATGTTGAAATCATCCTTAATTGAATTCTACTAGAGAGATGTAAAGTCCCCATCACCCATCCGTTGTATCTCTAAATGTTTCTGTGGTGCATGGAGTACATCAAGGGAGTAATGATAGTATGATAACAATGTTGGTAGAAAACTTCATAACTGTTTGAAATCTGATGGATGATTATCTATCAGATGAAAGGTCACATTCATAGTTATAGTTTTTAATGTGATACGTCTTGCGGAATCAATGAAGATTAGATCATTTAACAGTCACTAATGCCAACAAAGGTGCAAGCATGAATTATCCTAGAAGGTATGATGTATATCACAATCTTTCTATAATTATGATGGAAATGGATTTACTTTACATTTAAAAGGAAGGGCAAATGCAAGAAATCGGCAATTTACGTGCCACTTAAGCATGGCTGTTTTTTGAGAAGAAAATGCTAATAAGTAATAGGGTTATATTTATCTTATGTTGCATAAGATAAACAAGCTTTTACCAAATGGGTGCAGCTCAGTTGGTAATTTGGCGCTGAGTTAGTGAGGTTGGATATGTGTTCGATTCCCGCTAAATGCATTCTTGGGGAAGGGGCTGAACCTTTAGCCATCACTGTTCCCCTGCACTCCGGATTAGTCCCATAGCCGGCTCAAAGAGTCGAAGCTCGTGGGGATACCGGAGGGAGCCAACTCGTCTCAAAGAGATAATTAGGGTTGGGTAACTCCAAAAAAAAAAGATAAACAAGCTTTTTACACACAAAAATGAAGGTGGGTCTCACATTTATTTTTTCTCTCCTCTTACATGTGGTTTTCACTTATAATTTTATTTCCCTAACATGAGACAATCATTTTTATACAATATAAGATAAATATAACCCTAAGTAATAAGGGTGTTACTCTGATACTATTAGTTGGATTTGGATCCTCTCATATGGAAAAGTGGTCATATGATTATGTTATTTGATCATAACCACTCATTTTCACTCATTAATGATGATATAAGAGAGAGAAAATATATGATTTTTAAACTAGTGATTGTGATTAAATAACATGATTAGTTTTTCATATGAGAGGATCAAATCCCTATTAGTTAGAATATCATGGACATGCTTGACATTACGAATGATAAGTCTATGTACCCTACAGCCGTTGTCACATTGGAAATTGATTTTGAATTTATGATCTTAGATTAACTTGACCTACAATATTAGTAGTTTGAATCCTGAAGTCGCCATTATGAGAAACATTTAGATGAATTTTACTTTCAATATTAGTAGTTTGAATCCAGGATTCACCATTATGAGAAGGATTTTACCTAACATCTGCACCCTGCCCGAGGAATTGGGTTCATAGCTATGTATGATATTCGGTCAAAAACCAAAAGTTTATATTGTGATAGCCTTAAGCTATTGATTCACAATGTAATTGGAAAATTCAAGTAACTATATTATAACTCAGCAATTCGAGTTTGCTGATTACTCCATAAATGAAGGTTAAGAAGAAGACAAGTTTGTTACAGACGTAAGTTGATCTCCTCTCACACCTCTCTTTCCTAATATACTGAAACATAAATTAAGAGTTGGGCTAAAGGCTACTGGCCCAATTAACATGAAAAGAAATAACATGAAATGGCTAAGGCTACTGGCCCAATTAACAACTCTCAGCACACCTGTGCCTTGACTTACTACTCCCTTCTAAGTCTCTCATTGACACCTAATGGCCACGTGTCCCAACTATGTAGTCTTTAACCCATTTAGCTGGCATTCTGATTCTACTCCCCCTTCGACGTGGTACTTCATCTGGTGTCTTCTTCCCTGTTTCTTCCTCCGCTTCTCCATGAGTGTTCGTCTCTCCTTCCTCTGGTAGCAAGCCCCTATCAAATCCCTCCACCCTTAAAGAATCGATCTTGTCCTCAAGATCAAACTGTGGGAAGGCTTGGCAAAACTCCGAAGCGGAGATCCACGATGCGTCCTCTAACGGTAATCCCTTCCACTGCACCAGGACTTGCAAGTCTGAACCTTTTCCACTCGCCATGGTACGAGAACGCAGAATCGCCACCGGATCTGTCACTGGGTGGCCATCCCAGGTTACAGTTGGTAGTGGTTGGTGATGAAAGGATCCATTCTGGCGAAAGGCTTTCAGTAAAGAGACGTGAAATACAAGGTGGATGCGTGACCCTTCTGGCAGTTCCAATCTATACGCAACAGCTCCGATGCGCGCCGTGATGGGAAAGGGACCATAGTACCTACGTCGCAGCTTAGAGAAGGACTAATTACGGACTGATTTCTGCGGTTGGAGTTTGACCAACACTTGGTCACCTACAACAAATTGGATGTCTCGGCGGTGCTTGTCCGCTTGGTTTTTCATCCACTGCTGTGTTCGGTGTAAGGTCTCTCTGAGGTTTCTGATGACAACATCCCTCTTTGTTAAAAGGGCATCCACAACTTCAATGGGCGAAGCCTCTCCATCATATGGTTGCAAGGCCGGAGGTAATCGTCCATAGAGGATCTGGAAGGGGGTTGCTCCAATGGCAGAGTGATATGACGAATTGTAGGAGAACTCTGCCCACGGTAGGTACTGGACCCAGCTCTGTGGGTTTTCCATTGTATATCAACGTAAGTATTGCTCTACTCCTCTGTTGGTGACCTCTGTTTGACCATCACTCTCAGGATGGTTGGTTGTACTGAAGTGAAGATGGGTGCCACTTAAACGAGATAGTTCCTGCCAGAATTTGCTAATGAAGATACGATCTCTATCTGAAACGATCGACTTGGGAACGCCATGATGTTTGCAGATGTCTGAAACAAATATTGCTGCAACCTTTGTAGCTGTAAGGTTGCTTGCCAAGGAGGAGAAGTGAGCATACTTAGACAGCCTGTTTACAACAACCATGATGGTTGTCTTCCCTTCTGATTGAGGAAGTCCTACTATGAAATCCATCGATAAATCCTCCCACACCGCATGAGGAATGGCTAGAGGTTGTAGTAGACCCGCGGGCGATAATGGTTGGTACTTCGTAACTTGGCAAACAGGGAAAGTACGGACAAACTCCTGAACATCATGTTGCATATTGATCCAGTAGTAATGGGTGGAAAGTCTATGCAGGGTCTTACGGTTTCCTCCATGCCCCCCGATTATTGTGGAGTGGAATGCATGAAGCAGAGTAGTTCTCAGCTCGGAAGTGCTGGCTAAGACGATTCTCACCCTGGACAATGCATCTGCCACCTTGTTGACAGCTCCCAGGTAATACTCGATGGTATAATCAAAGCCCAATAGCTTAACAAGGAAACGTTGTTGCTCTGACGTCTGAATTACTTGAGCCATCAACTCCTTGATGCTGTGTTGATTTGTTCGTATGGTGAACTTGCTGCCCAACAGATATTGGCGAAACTTTGCAACACTCTCAGTGATGGCAAACGGTTCTTTAACATAAGTTGATAATTGCTGCATTTTGGGCGACAGTTTTTGGCTGAAATAAGCGATGGGTTGGTTATTCTGACTGAGCACGACTCCAATTCCAATTCCGGATGCATCAGTCGTCAGCACAAAGGGCTCACTAAAATTTGGTAAGGCCAAAACTGGTGGGTTGGACAGTACCTCCTTAAGTTGGTCCATGGCTTGGGTAGCAGTTGCATTCCACTGGAATCCATCTTTCTGGAGAAGTGTGGTTAGAGGGCCTGCTATACACTAAAATATCATTAAAAAAAACAATTACAAACTTTCTCAAGAAGGGTTTAAGTACCGAGTTCATAATTCCTTGGAAAGTGGCAGGTGCGTTGGTGAGGCCGAATGGCATAACCACAAACTCATAGTGACCTTCGTGGGTACGAAAGGCTGTTTTGTAAATGTCTTGTTCAGCCATGCGGATTAGATGGTATCCAGACCGCAGGTCTATCTTTGAAAACACAGTGGCACCTGCCAATTCATCGAGCATCTCGTCCACTGTTGGAATTGGAAATCGATTGGCTATGGTTACTTGGTTGAGAGCTCTATAGTCTACACAGAACCTCCAGGTCCCATCCTTCTTCTTGACCAGCAGCACTGGGGAAGAGAATGGACTAAGGCTGTGGCGGATCACTCCTGTTTATAGCATTCCTCTTACCATTTTCTCTATTTTTGATTTTTGAAAACGTGGGTATCTATATGGTCTGACATTAACTGCTGTGGTTGTAGGTGCAAGGTGTATGCGGTGGTCCTCTTCACGAAAAGGTTGTAGGTTCGAAGGCTTTTCAAAAATATCTGCAAAGTCATGCAGAAGCTGCTGTACTCGGCCATCCAGCTCATTGGTTTAAGGATGTTGATTCTCCATATATTGTTCTACAACTTGCAACTGATACAGACATGCAACCGAGTGTGAGGAAGTCAACCTGCGCAATTGATTCAATTAGATAGCCTCCATAGCTACATTGGACTCCCCTTGTTTTTCTATCACGTGGCCATCCTTCTCAAACTTCATCATCAGTTGTTTATAGTTGATGGTAACATCTCCCCATTCGGATAGCCATTGCACACCAAGAACAACCTAATCTCCTTGAATCGGTAATACATACAAATCCAGGAAAAATGCATGGCCTTGTATGTCCAGAGATACATGTGAGCACACACCCAGGAAGTTCATCACTTCCCCATTGCCAACCAGTACTTGAAACTTCTGTGTGGGTCTAGTTTCCAAACCTAAAAAATTCACCAAGCGTTCTTGTACAAAATTATGAGTTGAACCCCCATCCACCAAGATTTGGACTACTGTATTGTTGATCCTACCCTTAACTCGTAGGGTACTAGTGGAGTGTTGACCCGTCATGGCATGCAAGCTGATCTCAGGCATGGAGTTGTCCTCACCCCCTATCTTTTCATTACTAACTTAATGTTCCAGTTCTAATTCATGTACATCGGACTCCATGTTTTCATCCCCTTCATTCTGCACTATCAAAATAAACATCTTCCCCTTGCATATGTGGTTCCTGTTGTATTTTTCATCGCAATAGAAGCACAACCCCTTCTCTCTCTTATATGCCATTTCTGCCGAGGATAGTCTCTTGATAGGTATGCTTTCTTTTTTTGTCAATGTGCCTGGAGTAGTAGATCGTGGTGGTGCTGGCAAGAGTCCAGGTTGGTTAACACTATTAGACCCCACTGTGTTTCTGTTGTAGTATGACCTCACAGTACTTTTGTCATTATGTTTATCTTCTATTAACTTGGCTAGATCAATGGCCTGTTCTAACGATGCAGGTAAGTGTAGACAAACCTCCTTACGTATTTCAGGTTTTAAACCAGATTCAAAATAGCTTTGAAGGCTGATGTCATCGATCCCAATCACCTGGTTAGCCAATTGCTTAAACTGAGTTTGATACTTAGTCACAGTCGCCACCTGAGTTAAGCGTCCAACCTTTCCTCTCAGATCACGGTAGCGGGAAGGTCCAAATCTGGCGCGGAGTGCTACCAAGAATTGTTCCCACGTTCGTAATCTGCCATTGCGATCCATCCAATGGTACCATTCTTCCACTGATCCATCCATGTGGAACGAAGTCAGAGTGAATTTCTCTACATCAGCGAGGTTATGAAACCCATAGAATTGTTGAATTTTGTAGATCCATGGCTCGGGGTTGCCACCAGCAAATTGTGGTATGGTAAGTTTCACTGACTTGAATGCATTTGTTCCAAATAGATCTCCCAAACCTCCGTGCGATGGACCTTCTATTTTCCCTTTGCTTTTCTGGTTCTGATCCAACTTTGCCTCAACCATAGTTAACTTCAAGTTCATCTCCTTCAACAGGTTGCCTAGTGAATTGAACTGATCGTCATGATGTGCTAATCGGTTCAAACATTCGTCAATTGTTGTATGTTTAACAGAGCTGCGAGTTCTTTCTGCCATGAGAAAGTTCAGAAGTTGCCTCTCTATGAAAGCACCAAATTGATAGCCTTAAGCTATTGATTCACAATGTAATTGGAAAATTCAAGTAGCTATATTATAACTCAGCAATTCGAGTTTGCTGATTACTCCAGAAATGAAGGTTAAGAAGAAGACAAGTTTGTTACAGACGTAAGCTGATCTTCTCTCACACCTCTTTTTCCTAATATACTGAAACAAAAATTAAGAGTTGGGCTAAAGGCTACTGGCCCAATTAACATGAAAAGAAATAACATGAAACAGCTAAGGCTACTGGCCCAATTAACAACTCTCAGCACACCTGTGCCTTGACTTACTAATCCCTTCTAAGTCTCTTATTGACACCTAATGGCCACGTATCCCAACTATGTAGTCTTTAACCCATTTAGCTGGCATTCTGATTCTACTCCCCCTTCGACGTGGTACTTCATCTGGTGTCTTCTTCCCTATTTCTTCCTCCGCTTCTCCATGAGTGTTAATCTCTCCTTCCTCTGGTAGCAAGCCCCTATCATATTGTAAGTGAGAATTTAGGTTGAAGTTGTAAGTTTAAATTGTGTAGCACTTATTATACCGTCAATAACAGATATTAGTCATGTGCTTATGACTGTCTTATAATTTTTTAAGAAAACATTTGATGCCAAACTTGATTGCACCGTCTCATGTTACACCAAAATTGATGCAAGGATGTGGGAGGAAAATGAAGCAAGGGAATGTTTTAAGTGAACATCATCCTTCGAACTTTTTAAGATGAAGGAAAGAGAATGGGTAATACCCCCTCCTTTATTAACATGGAACCTAGTTTTTATGAATAATTAATCTAATTTTTATGACTTTGAAGGATTATAAACATTCAAATTAGGGAATTAACCTCTCATACTTTTCTTTTATATCCTTCTTCGTTTCCTTTTGATTCCTTTTCCTTTGAAATCTCAAACATACTGTACAATGTTCATAAAAACTAATATGGTTTATGGGGAATTTCATGATAATTGTTTATTTTCGTCCTCTTATTTTTAAAAACTCACAAATAAAGGTAATTTCTACGTAAAATCTTGTCCCCTCCCCCACACATCATTTTCCTTCCAAATTCCTTATCTAAACATAATAGTCTTAATGCATGTTTATATTTCATTACTTTTGAAAAAATAATTGTTCTTTTTTTCAAAAGCTTTCTTAACAAAATCTTGATTATAACTCATTTTGAATTCAGATTAGCTATCTAAACCCACACTTAGTATTTTACAGGTTGAGTTTGTTGATTCATGTTTTTGTTGACAAATATTAAGTCTTGAAGCATTAATAAATGAGGAATACATTTCTCATGTTATATAAAACAATTTTACCTAATGTACATAAAAAATAAATATGACCCATTTCTTTGCTTTCTCTTTTTTTTTCTTTTTAGTGAATCTCCCCTAATTTTGCGTGTATATGAGATAATTTGAGAAACATATTACCCTTAATAAAATATGGATAATGTTGTCCATGCAATATCCTCACTAAAGGTGATGTTCACATAAAACATTGATATCCCCCCATTTGACCTTCTAACTTCCTTATCCAAACATAGTTTTAATACATTTTGGATTTCGATCATTTTTGCAGAAATAATCATTTTTTAACAATCTCTCGAAAATAGCAAGTTAATCCAAATACATACCAAGTATTTTATAGTTTATGTATTTGTTGCTTCATGGTTTGTTGACAAATAGCAAGTTTCAAAATTAATATTCAACGGATAACATATTCCATGTAATATCCTCACAAAAGGCATGCAATGTAATTTTAAGCTTATTGTACTTTCATTCTCTCGGTTAGCTAATCAACACAATTTAATATTTTTTTTCTTTTTCTAGGTATAATTCTTACAATTTTAACAAAAGCAGTATTATCCTCGTAGTTTACTTATTAAAGAATTTAATTCCTCCAATTTTTTCAGAACTATAATCATTTTTTAAAATAAAATTCGGCTTACAAATCTGCATTATCTTAGTTAATGGAAATTAATTATCTTATATGTTTTAATCAACATCTTTGTTAAATCTTGTAAACAGAATGTAACTATAGTCTTTAATTGTACTATAAATAAACGATTAAGGGGACATCATTCATGCTATGAAAATTAAATGGACTAAACTTACAAGTAAACTAGAGGGATAAATTACTTTATGAGCAAGTTGAGGGATCGATCGCCAGATAAGGGTTCCTCAAAGGCCCTTCAATTACCCGAGGGTCCATTGTGTAATCACGGTACTTATTCGCTAACTAAATAAATAAAGATTAAATATTTTTTTTGGTCCACAAAACAAATTTCACGATGACTACTTTAGTTTCTAACAAATAAAAAAGCTATTCGTGATCCGAAAAAATTCAAAATAGACTCATTTAGTTGAAATCGTGATTCCTCACAAATTCAAAAAAGACCCATAGTCCCTCAAAAAGACTAAAATGGATCCACCTTGAATTTCTTATGGATCACGAGTAGCCTTTTTATTTATTAAAAACTAAAGCGGACATTGTAAAATTTGTTAAGGACCGAAAAGAATATTAACTCATAAATAAATACGAAGTTTCTTGAAAGCTGTGAAGCACATTAAACAAAATAATGTGTTGATTTAAGTTATATAATGTCGACCAACGGCCTATTTTCTAGGCGGTTGGGGCTGTGAATAAATATGACAACAGAAAAGAATCAACAAGCTGATTTTTACCTCTATTATCTATAATTCTATATACCATAATTGTCATAGCCATGAGACAAAACATCGATGGCTTAGCCTGAGATAGTTACACGCTAACAAGAACTCAATGAAAGGTAAACCAAACCTAATTATCTCCACAGAGAAAAAGAAAAAGTAATATGTCAGTACCATGCTAACATATACATGCACCCCCTTATCCCAAACAAGACAGAAGCTACCAGATTGGATTCAATGACTCCCTTCATACTTTGCATTTTTGCCTCTTTTCTTTGATTTATCAGCCTGCATGGTGATGGGCACCAATAGTACAACATGTAAGATACAACATATAACATAGTATTAGATAAAAAAATCACTCCTCATTATGTTGGGTATGGCTCATACTTCACATTTGAACTGGCGAGGTCAGCAGAAAGGCAACTAGGGTCTCGCTCTTATTGTAATTTTTTTTCTTAGTAGTTTGGGTCCATAAATAACTGCTGTTGGGGTTTTCTAAATCCTATTTATATCTCATTGTAAATTGAGTGACTTGTGATGAGTGGCAGTGAGGTGAATATAGTACAGACAAGCTGGACGTAGCCTACACTGAGTGAATCGGGATAAACCTATGTGTGACTTTCTCTTTTCTGTTTTCTCGATTTGTACGATTTGTGTGTCAATTTCCAACACATTAAACCCCGACTAGTGAAGACAATCCTTGTAAGTAGTCTTACCTTGCATATTTGCAAAAAAAATTGTTTCTCGGATTTGTATTATATATAATATAAATATGTTAGAGATATAATAAAACCATTCATGCATCTAACATAATTGTGTGATAGCCAAATTTTACACATGGAAATACCTTGCTGATCATATTCTCAAATGCTTCAGTTCCATTCTCTTGAATGTACTTCTCTGCGGCAGTTAGAATGTCATCTGGCTTACCCAAAGAGTCCTTTTTGCTTGGAACATACCAAATGTTAATGTTCTGAGGATTGACAAAGAAAGGTCTAACATAATGCTCGTAAATATAGGCAGCACCACTGAAGTAAGGAAGGACCAACCAGCAAGTTAGGATCAGCTTTGCATATGGCCACATAGGAATCCTGTAATACAGAATGAGACAATTTAACCACAAGTTTAGCAAGCCCCCACCACCCACCCAATTATCTCTCTAAATATACTCATGAGTCATAACAACATAATACAAAGGTTGATATAACGCAGATAATGTGTTACACGAATTCAACAGCAATTTACACATTATAAAGTATACTTGCATGGCCTATTGGTATACCCGTAAACCCTTTACTTTAAATGTTTAAGATTATAGATTTATAACAGCATTTTAATTTTTAATTTTTTTGGTATCTAAGCCGGTTTAATCTGGTTCGAGAGTTGGCCAAAAGGGATGGCTTTCCCAACACCATTCTCTCCATTCCTAGGACTCAAAACTCAAACCTATGACTGAGGGGAACAAGCTCCACTTGAACCAATAATTATTGGTTTGTGACAGCATTTTCTAAGACTACACCACAATGGACAAGTTAAGGTATATATTTTGCGGCTCTCAAATAAACAATAAACTTAAAACAAAATTAAACTCGAATTCAGTTTCAATAGTGTCTTTATATCCATACTCCATGTAAAACAGAACCGAAATTGTATATCTTTAGACATGATTCGAGATTGGAGTAATACTTTAACACCAAAAAACAGGGGTCAAATATGAATTATATTGCTGGTAAGCTTAGGTATGATTGCACTAAACAAGTAAACAACCACTTTTCTTTCTCAAATTGATCTTACCATAAATTCCCTCCAAATTAACTACATCTCAAAACAGTTACAACCCTCAAAATAACAATGGGGGTCAAAATCTCAGGTTTCTCATCAAATACATTAAGCACTCAAATTAGGTCAAGTACACAAGAAAAATCACAAAAAAGAAGATTCAACAGTGAAGGCAAAAAGTTTACCATTCAAGAACTTTGGCAAAAGTAAGTTCAAAAAGGGTGATCAAGGAATACATAACCCAATAAGTAAGCCATTGCTGGTCATCAACCGGAGACTTGCTCTCAATAGCCCTAACTGAAGCATATCTGTGGCATTATATTATAGAACAAACCACACAAGACTCAGCACACAGGAGCAGTGAAATAAATGCAAACTGAACATAAAAAAGTTAACTTGTCAACATTTGTCCTATGTGCACTCACAGAGGATACGCAAGACTCAGCACAGGCCTGCATAACAAACCCCATAGCCAAAAGGTATCAGTTAAACGACAAAGGGAAAAAAAAAAAAAAAAAAACACTGAAATAAGAAAATATGGTTAATTTAGTTATTGCTGTACAGTGTGAAGCCCTATAGTAATAATTAAGTCTCGTGTTAGAAAGAAATTTCCAACATAGAGTAGCGTGCTTTGCAACAAAGGGAAGGTGATTTCTTAGAAAAGGAGGAAAAATTAAAACATACCCAGCAAGAACATCAAAATTTTTCAGAACCAACTTGAGGAAATTTCCAGCTCCAGAACCCATATTTGATCTCTCTCTCTCTCTCTCTTGAAGGAGTGTGTCAGTGAATTAAACTAAGGATGTTTTGATTCTTTGGAGAGTGTGCTTAGGATTTGCCGCTAGTTGTCTGTAAGATAAAAAGGGAAAGTGAGAGAATTGTTGTGTTACAGTGTGGCCTTGTTTGTGGGATATTTTTCTAACCCCAATATCAATCGTTGGATTAAAGATCAGTGATTTTGATTTCATTCCTTAAAGGACTAGAATGAAGGACCACTATGTTCCTCATGCACTGAATCTTCTTAGGCACCTACTTGGTAGGTTCGGTTAATGAAATATTTGCATAAAGGGAACCTTACTTTACTTTTGAACACAATTATGATATTACGGTATTTGTTTATATTAGTTTACTCATGGTTCTCGTATGTTCTATTTCTTTTTAGTTTTAGTTAATTTAATCGACTTACACTTGCTGTAACAATATTCTCCCAAATTTTTTTTGATAGAGCAATAAATTTAACGCAATCTCGATGGCCACAGAATCGATACAATTTATTCAAAGAATTGTATTCCAACCAAGCCAACAGTGTTCGAGGTAAGACGACAATAACAAGAGATGTTGACATGCCTTTCATTCATCAAATTCATTAGTGATCTTGTTGAATTGATATAATTTTTTTCTTCTTTTTTTCTTTGGAGTGGTTAAGTTGTCATTTTATGTTGAATTCGAAGGTTTCTTTGAAAACTCTAAAATTCAATTATGGTTAGTAATGCTATATACAACACTTCACACATATAAAAGTTCACATATATTTCTTGATTATAGTTAACTATTTAATGTTCATCAACATTTTTAAATACAAGTTTACATATAATCCGAAGGCTAAATGATTATTATTTCTTTTTTATCTTCTATAATATTGTTCAAGATCTTTCTATTCATAGTTTCACCTCGTCCCTTCAAATGCATAGTTAGAGTGGCCAATTCATTCCCACCTTTATGGAAAACTAAAAATGTGAAGAGGAAAAAAAACAGAGAAAATGTTTACTACTTGTTTTCTGACATCCAAATTCCAAATTTCTCGACACCAATTACTGAAACTATAACTCTAAATATGAACATTGTTAACTTGAAGTTGTTTGCTCTCCAAGAAGCTGGGATGGCCATGAATCAGCTGATGTGGCATACCTGGCATGCGGTTTATTAACAGTGAAGGTGAGTTTTGGCCTCAGTTCAGCAACATTATGCGCTGATAAAGAAGCTTGATGATGAGGACAAAAGGGTACAACCAAAACTGCAGGTCCTTGCTGCAATGTAGGTTCTATGTTAAGACAATTGGAGGCTTTCTCCTACAAAATTTGTTGTCTTTTCTGGCTGCTGAAGCTCAAAATTAGGAGATACATTCAGGTCAGGTCTAGACTGGGTTACTCTGGCTTCTATCTTCCCTTGAAGTTTCTCAACTTGTGTTTCTAGAGCAGAATTCTCCTGCTCCACCTCATTTTTCTCCAGAGTCATCTGCTCAATGAAGTTACTTGCATGATATATAACCAGATACAAGAACACGTTATCAATAATAGTTTCCAAAGTTTGATGGAAATGATATTAACCGGCTGAAAGATTGATTATATTCACTGTTTGCTTAAATAGAAAGGATAACAATTTACCTAGCATATGATAAAAATGCTCACACACACAGACACACACACACACACTAGTGTTCTTCATAGGGTAAAATTGAAGGAAAAGGAGGAAAAAGCTTGTCAAGCACTTACATAATGAGTTTCATAGAATAGAGATGCATTCTCCTTCTTCAGGAATTCGATTTGACCGAACAGGTCTTTTAGTAGTTTGGTGGCTTCCTTCAATATAGAAGCTTTTCCGTTGTTCTGCTCATGAAGATCTGTTATTCCCTTGCCAGTGAAAAAGGAAACCCCAAACCCCAAAAGAAGAATGAAGAAAACAGCACTATTGTTATATCTTGCAACATGTCAAAAGTGACCTGATCTACAAGGTAAAAACCAAACACAATTTCAAAGTTGAATGAGGCAAACAAGGGGAAAGTCAAGTTCAAACATAATAAAAAATTTAGATGGTGGCACCAGAAGTTACCAAGTGCATTGGCAAGGCCAAGAAAGAGTTCTTCAAATGTTCACGCTTCATTTTCTCTCTTTCAGCCTCGTGAACCCTCTTAGGGACTTTCCCTTGGTTCTTTTTATTAGGAGAAAACCTGCAACACATCAAGCTTTTAGAAACTGAATCCACATAAACTACTCATGCAGGACACAGTTGTCATGTAGTGCTGCTGCTCCTACTATTACCGCTACTCTCATGAGAAGTTCAGGATATATTGAAATAAAACCAAGAGCTTTTGCATATAAAAATGAAAAAAACTAAAAGCTTTAAACGCACAGAAGACAGAACTATGAAAATTTATGCTTGGATCACGTCAATGCATCAAATTCTTTTGTGAGTGATAAGCCATGGGTTTGAATCTATTGTATTAGAGCATGGAAACCATGGAAACCAGAGAATGAAGAAGAAACATTTTTCATATTGCTAAATGTCTCAACTGAATTACACGCAAAGGGTGATACTTGACGTGCGTCTAGCATATGATGCTTTCTAATTTAAAAGAAGCAAGAAATTAATTATAAATGTGTGAAAATAAGTCATAAATGCAAAAATAGTGATTATTCCTTCTCAATCATTCTCTCACTCAATATATGTGTTTTAATAGCAGGAAACGTCACAAAAGACAGCAAAAGAGAGAAGTCCAATTTTTCAGCTGGCGCACGGTGCGCGGGACCTGGCACACGGTGCGCCATTTGATGCAAATCGTCCTTGTATCCTGGCGCACGGTGCGCGGGACCTGGCGCACGGTGCGCCATTTCACAGTTTTCCTTCTGTTTTCTCATGTAAAGTGCGCTAGACTTTGCGCAAAGTGCGTGGGCGATACTTTTTAACTCTAATCTGATGCAAATTACTCAAAAAGGAGGCCCAATTGGAGGCAATTGAAAATAGGTTTTTCCAAAACCTAATAAAAGGATCAGAAACAGAGGAATGAAGACCTTTTGACAACAAGGAAGAGAAAAACAACAAAGAGAGGGAGAATTCTTGAGAGCTTCTTGGAGTTTCAGAGAATCAAACGATCAAGACGGAAGATCTTCATCTTCTTTCTCTTCTTTAGGTTCTAAAACTTATTTTCTTTTATGTTTATTTTGTCAGACATGAATATGTCTGGCTAGTTCTATTATTGTGGTAAGGGCCACATCCCTTAATGTGAACCCCTTGTAGTTTGATTAAATTTATATTCATCTATGTTAATTGAGCTATTTTACCTTGTTCTTCATCTTATAATTCTTATAGAATTGATCACTCTGTTGGGATTGCGAGGGTTAGGGTTTTCAATAGGAATATTAGAACTCTAATTCCTGACAAGAGTAAGATAAATGTTCATGTATGCACTAGGGATGGGCTACATGAACCGCAAACGTGAAAGATTCACTGATTCGAAGGCTTAACTTAAAAAGGGGTTTATAAGGGATTAGGATCCTAATAGAGTTAATAAGGTTAAAGTCACTAAGGAATTAGGATTTAACCAATCAAATAAAAGATAGTGAATCATTTGATCAATTGCATAATTGAATGTAAACGTAACTCAGGTTACAAGGTGGGGATCATAAAGGTGTTGGCGTCTCTTTACCGCAATATTCTCTCAATTAATTACTCAACCTTTATTCCGTTATTCTTGAATTTCTTTAAGAACTTTTGAATCATTTACAATTTCTTGAATAGTTCTCAATTATTTCACAAACCATAATTGTTCTCAAACCATTTTTATTCATCCAACAAGAGAGGAATAGTTATAATAAATTTGGTGCCTTAATCCTCTTGGAGACGATACTCTACTTACCATTTTATTACTTGGAACGATCGGTACACTTGCCGATTATTCGCAACAAGTTTTTGACGCCGTTGCCGGGAATTGAATACGCCAAATTTATTTTTAACTTTTGATTTTTTTGATTGGATTTTGTGTTACTAAACTGTTTGCTTTAGTTTATGCGTGGTACAGTCAATCCGAAAACTTTGATCTACAATCCAGAGATAGAAAGGACTACAAGAAGATTAAGACAACCTACCAGGTAGAGAAGGCAAGCAGAAACTTCTACTCCACAATTTGAAGTAGAAATAGAGATGGCAGCTTAAGATCCACCATCGGAAGAAGAGTTGATGCAGTCAGTCTTGGCTCCATTGTTTACAAGGCCCAATTCCAGCATTGTGAGGCCATCGATTAATGCCAACAACTATGACATCCATCCATCATTGATCACATTGGTGGAGAAAACTCAATTTGGTGGGGAGGGCTATGAAGATCCTCATGACTTCATAGATAGATTCATAAGAATTTGTGATACAATCAAACACCACGGAGTATCCGATAATGCAATCAGACTCCGATTGTTCCCGTTTGCTGTGACCTGGAAAACTCTCAGATGGTTGGATCGACAAGCTCCCAACAACATCAGAACATGGGAGGAGTTGGAAGCTAAATTCTTTGCTGAGCAATTTTCTATGCAAAAGTACAACAAGTTGGTAAATGAAATTACCAACTTCACTCAACAACCGGGAGAGAATTTGTGTGCAGCCTGGACCAGATTCCAGGAACTGATCCGGAAGTGCCCCCAATATGACTTGCCAGAGACAAAAAAGGTCAGAGTCTTCTATAATGGGATGACACCAGACTCCAGAATGATTGTCAATGGTGCAGCTGGTGGAACCATAGGAAAGAAGACAACAACTCAAACCTTAAAGCTGATTGATTTTATGGCAAGGAATGAGAATGCATCTATGGCAGTCCAACCTGTTCAGCCAAAGAAAGGACTTCTACAACTGGAGAACAATGATGCATCACTAGCTAAGCAAAAGGTGATCTCTCAACAGCTAGCTAGCAAGAACGCCAAGCTAGATACGATGCAAGTCTCAACAGCTAAAGTTAATTTATTTAACTGTGAATACTGCAAAGAGCAACATGAGACTAATGAGTGCCCAACACTCATGGGAGCTGAACCGTTCCAGGTCAATGGAGTTTGGTATGATCTAAGGCCACCATAGAATACCCAAAGCTTTCAAAGGAATCAGAATGGTGCCCAAGGAAGCAATTTTCAAAGGAGAAATCAAGGGGGAGGCTTGGATTATAAATCCAACAATTACCTGCAACCTCCTCCTCTTCCACATAAGGAGCCATCAAAATTGGGGAAAACAATGTTGCAGCTTTCTAAGACCACTAATGATCATATCCAGACTACTGATGCTTTCATGAATGAAACAAGAGCCTACCATAAGAATCAAGATGCTTCAATCAGAAACTTAGAGATTCAAATTGGCCAACTTTCAAAACAACTAGCTGAGAGGAGTCAAGAAAGGAGCAATGCAGTGTCAAAGGAGCAATGCAATGTCATTACTACAAGGAATGAGGAGCTATAAAAAAGGAAGTTGAAGTTCCTATAAGAAAGGATAAACAAGCTCAAAAGGATAAAGAAGAAGCAAAGGAACAACCTCTTGCAGTTCAAAAGAAGCAATGAGATTTCTCACGTTTTGAGAAACCTCCATATCCAATGAGGCCCAAGCAAAATGAGCAAAGAAAGAAATTTTCTAAATTTTTAGATATTTTTAAGAAATTGCAGATTAATATTCCTTTTGTAGAAACTCTGGAGCAAATGCCTTCATATGCCAAATTCCTGAAGGAAACATTATCTAAGAAGAGGAAGCTCACAGAGGATGAACCGATAACACTAACAGAGGAGTGCAGTGCAATCTTACAGAAAAATATGCCTCCAAAGTTGAAGGATCCTGGAAGCTTCAGTATTCCATGCACAATTGGCAAGACGACTATAGAGAGAGTCTTATGCGATCTTGGTGCTGGCATTAATGTGATGCCATTAACCCTGATGAAGAAGCTGGGAATTAATGAAGTGAAGCCAACCAAGATGAATGTTCAACTGGCTGACCGCTCAACAAAGCAAGCACATGGTATTGTGGAAGATGTGCTAGTCAAGGTAGACAAATTTCTAATTCCTACTGATTTTGTTATTCTTGACATTGATGAAGATGCCAGTGTGCCTATGATCTTCGGGAGGCCATTCTTAACAACCTCAAGAGCATTAATCGATGTACCTAAGGGTGAGTTGATAATGCGCGTGGATGGAGAGCAAGCAATATTCAAGGTACCTATAAATGAAGCTCCTTCATTGCCTGCCTCTCAATCTAAGAATCAAGTCAACTACATTGCTGAGAAAAAAATTGAGGAAGGGAACAAGAAGGAATTCCATCAGCGGCATGACGAACACAAGCCAAATGTTAAGATGGAAAAGCCCAAGAGCAAGAAAAAACATGTGAAAACTAAGTTTAAAGTTTCTAAAATCCATCCTCCTCATCCACATGCATACGAGTATAACCATGGCAGGACACAAATTCTGAGCAAGGGTATGGTGTCATCATTGAGCCTGAGTTACCAACCACCATGATCACATAGGGTACGTCAGGCTCGTGACGTTAAACAAGCGCTGATTGGGAGGCAACCCAATAATTTTTTAGTCATTTTCTTATTTAATTATGTTAAGGTCATTTAAACGTCTTTAGTGTTTTGGGTTGTAATTCTCCAGTACATTGGTCATGTTATTTTCTGTTTGATATTTCAGGTGTGTGTTTTACTTGCGCAGCAGTTACTTTCTTTGACTAGTTTAGTTATTGCTGAGGACAACAATATTCTAAATTTGGGAATTAGGACCGCATACGCGTTATCTAAGGTATCACATACAGAGGAACAACACAAAAGTTCAACAGAAAATCAGAGAATTCATGTCTACTTCAGGGGAGTTATTGTAACCTTTCTAGTTTATTTTTGTTTTAGTTTTAATTTTTTAGTAATAATTGATTTGTGAAAGCATGTTTAGATTTAGAGGTGCTATTCAGTCAATTCCTTGATTGAAAATAAGGAAGCGTTGTATGATATGTATTATTGTCATGGCATTGCATAGAGCATGAATAGAGATTATGATTGCTCGTTTGTTGATTTCTATGTTAATAATGGATAATGATGCTTGAAATGAAATTAGGAAGAGTCTAGTTTGATACCACAGCTGGTGAGGTTTGTGCCTATACAATTAAAAAAAATTAGAGAGTCCTCACTGCGTTAGTACTCTAGAACTTGATCTAATTCTCTCCAATGCATGTGTTGATTGAAGTGATAAAGGAATTTTATTCTATCAGCTTATGGCCAAATAGCCACTTGAGAAATCATCAATTGCTAGCCTTGTTGAGCTGAGACTATTTTTGTTCAATTACCTGATTAAACTGTTTAAACCACTTCAATCAGAACTTACCTTGATTGAGATTGAAATGTCAATAATCAAAAGTTAGAAGTGATTGAGGTAAGCTCCACTAGAAGTTAAGCAGTTGAAAAAGGAAAAGAAAAGAACAGTCCTCAAATGAATTCAAAGAGGAAAGAAAAATAAATTGAAAAATTAAAAAGGAATGATGAAGAAAAAGGTGAGAAAAAGGATAAATCATGAATTCAAGTAAATAGTGGAGCTGAAACCTGAATTGAGATATGATTGAGTCTTAATGAAAATGGTGTTTCAATCTCAATGATTATTCAGCTACTTTCCAAAAGATCCTAACCTTAAGCCAAGCCAAGTTATAACCTTGAGAAGCCTTTTTGATCAATCTGCATGTGTTGATGTTCCTCATCTTCAGGAACTTGAGAAAAAGGATCAAGCTATGGTAGTACAACAGCTGTGATGGAATAAGTGATGATGAATACCCCCAAACACTGAGTGATGAGTGAATATTATGTCTTGTGAGGGGTAATCAAGTAGACTCTGATATTCGAATGTAGTTGATGAGCATCATCTTAAGTTTTGATTTGGAAATCATTCATGCATAGTATAGTAATCTTTATGATTGTCTGTGCAATGCTATGCTTGATTAATTGAACCTTGCTTCCCATGTTTTAATTCTGTTTATTGCTGAGGACAACAACATCTAAATCTGGGAATTGTTTGATGTGCGTCTAGCATATGATGTTTTCTAACTTAAAAGAAGCAAGGAATTAATCATAAATGTGTGATAAATGCAAGAAATAATGATTATTCTTTCTCAATCATTCTCTCACTCAATTTATGTGTTTTAATAGCAGGAAACACCACAAAAGGCAGCAAAAGAGAAAAGTCCAATTTTCAAGCTGGCGCACGGTGCGCGGGACCTGGCGCATGGTACGCCATTTGATGCAAATCGTCCCTGTATCCTGGCGCACGGTGCTCTGAAGGTGGTGCACGGTGCGCGGACCTGGCGCACGGTGCGCCATTTCACAGTTTTCCTTCTGTTTTCTCATGCAAAGTGCGCCAGACTTGGCGCAAAGTGCGTGGGCGATACTTTTTAACTCTAATCTGATGTGAATTACTTAAAAAAGAGGCCCAATTGGAGAGCAATTGAAAACAGGTTTTTCCAAAACCTGATAAAAGGATCAGAAAAACAGAGGAATGAAGAACTTTTGACAACAAGGAAGAGAAAAACAACAAAGAGAGGGAGAATACTTGGGAGCTTTTTGGAGTTTCAGAGAATCAAACGATCAAGACGGAAGATCTTCATCTTCTTTCTCTTCTTTAGGTCCTAAAACTTATTTTCTTTTATGTTTATTTTGTCAGACATGAATATATCTGGCTAGTTCTATTATTGTGGTAAGGGTCACAACCCTTGATGTGAACCCCTTGTAGTTTGATTAAATTTATATTCATCTATGTTAATTGAGCTATTTTACCTTATTCTTCATCTTATAATTCTTATAGAATTGATCACTCTGTTGGGATTGCGAGGGTTAGGGTTTTCAATAGGAATATTAGAACTCTAATTCCTGACAAGAGGTAAGATAACTGTTCATGTATGCACTAGGGATAGGCTACATGAACCGCAAACGTGAAAGATTCACTGATTCGAAGGCTTAACTTAAAAAAGGGTTTCTAAGGGATTAGGATCCTAATAGAGTTAATAAGGTTAAAGTCACAAAGGAATTAGGATTTAACCAATCAAATAAAAGATAGTGAATCCTTTGATCAATTGCATAATTGAATGTAAACGTAACTCAGGTTACAAGGTGGGGATCATAAAGGTGTTGATGTCTCTTTACCGCAATATTCTCTCAATTAATTACTCAACCTTTATTCCGTTGTTCTTGGATTTCTTTAAGAACTTTTGAATCATTTACAATTTCTTGAATAGTTCTCAATTATTTCACAAACCATAATTGTTCTCAAACCATTTTTATTCATCCAACAAGAGAGGAATAGTTATAATAAATTCAGTGCCTCAATCCTCGTGGAGACGATACTCTACTTACCATTTTATTACTTGGAACGATGGTACACTTGCCGATTATTCGCAACAATACCCAAAATATAACAAAAGAATCTTCTAACAGAATGAGTGTGCTAATCTTTTGTTATACCCGTAAGTGGTGCAAGGTTATTACAACCACAAATATGAGGTGGCATAAAACAAATAAAGAAAAGAACTATTAATAAGAAATAAGAATGACACTATATGCTAAAACTCCCCATCAAGATGGAGAGTGTATATTGAGCACTCCCATCTTGGAAAGAAGTGAAAAAAATAGACTAGGAGATAATGCTTTAGTGAGTATATCCGCAAGTTGCTGGGAAGATGGAACAACAAATGTTTGAAGCTTCCCTTTGATGATTTGCTATCTTACAATGTGGAAATCAATATCAATGTTTTGGTGCGCTCATGAAATACTGGATTAGCAGCGATATGGAGAGCAGCCTGATTATCACAAAAGAGATGGGCAGGTGTAGGATGTGGCACATGTAAATCCTTCAGCAACATAAATAGCTAGAGAAGTTCACAAGTAACATTGGCCATAGACCTGTATTCGGCTTCAGCAGAAGAACGAGATACAATACTCTGTTTCTTTGATTTCCAAGAGATAAGAGAGTCACCAAAAAATATGCAATAGCCAGTGACAGACCTCATACTATTAGGGCATGTAGCCCAATCAGAGTCAGAGAAGACATTTAGTTGAATTGATGAATTTGCAGAAAATAAAAGACCTTGTCCAACAGTGCATTTCAAGTAAACAAGGATGCGTTGTACAACCAGCATGTGGGGAACCCGAGGTGCAGACATGTATTGGCTGAGTCTATTAACAGCAAATGACAAATCAGGGCGTGTGAATGTCAAATAGAGCAGCTTGCCAATGATACGTCTGTAAGAAGTAGGGTCAGAAAGAAGTTCTCTAGAATTAGAGGATAGTTTTAAGTTGGCTTCCATTGGAGTTGGTTGAAGCTTGCAACCAAGAGAACCAGAATCTTGCAAAATGTTGAGAACATATTGACATTGACTCAAATAAATTCCACTATGAGATCTGACCACCTCAAGTTCTAAGAAATATTTGAGTGCACCAAGATTTTTCAAACGAAACTTGTTGTTTAAGGAGTCAGTCAAAGTATGCAAAGCAGCAGAATCATTAAAAGCAAGGAGTATATGATCAACATAAACCAATATAGCAACAAAATAAGAATCAGTAAACATATTAAAGAGAGAATGATCCAAAGTAGATTGCTGGAAACTAATTGAGATCAAGGTGCTGGACAATTTTGAGAACCATTGTCTAGAGGATTGCTTGAGCCCATAAAGTGATTTCTGGAGTCTACAAACTGCATTAGGAGGAAGAGACTCCCCTTGTTGATTATAACCCGAAGGTGAAGACATATACACCTCCTCCATGAGTTCACCATGCAAAAAAGCATTATTGACGTCTAGTTGAATCAAATGCTAATTATAAATAGCTGCAAGAGAGAGGATAACTCGGACAGTTGTTATTTTTGCTACAGGGGAGAAAGTTTTCACGAAATCTATACCCTCCTGCTGAGAATATCCTTTAGCCACTAAGCGGGTTTTATACCTTTCAAGACTGCCATTGGAGTTATATTTTACTCTATATACCCATTTGCAACCAATGGGCATCTTACCATCAGGAAGAGAAACTATTTTCCAAGTGTTATTCTGCTCCAAAGCAGTGCTCTCATCAGCCATAGCAGCACACCATTCAGGGAGTTGGGATGCTTCTGAATATGTGGAAGGCTCAAAATGAGAGGATAGGGCATTAACAAAGGCATGATGTGTTGGAGAAAGCTTGGTATAAGAAAAAAAATTAGAGATGGGATGAGCTGTAGATGTACAAACATAATCCAATAAGTGAGGAGGTGGTTTTCTGATTCGGGCAGGGAGGGGTGGATGAAATAAAGGAGCCTCAGTGGTATGTATTGAAGTTGAAGAAGGAATAGGAGTTTGTAATAGTGAAGCAGAAGCAAAAGATGTTAGTATATGGGTGTCCTACAGACAATCTTTTGATTAAATAAGGACATTAAATGTAGACCTTTATTGTCGCAAATAATTAATAAGCACTCTTTATCCTGTTTCATATTATGTCTCGATATTATTGTTAATATATATTATGAATAAACTGGATAAACCCCTTGGAATAGAACAGGTATCTCTTGAGTATTTGTGATGAGATCACAATCATGAGGATTCAAGGATACCACACGTTTATTCCTAATTTTATGTTCCTAGTCTAGAGACACTGAGAATATGGATCAGTGATCTCAGATAAGACTAGCACGACTTATCTACTTGTATACGGATACAAGGTAAAGACCTCATGTGCTACAGATATGGAGATGTCTTAGCTAAAGTCGTGGGTGGACCTATAAGGGTATAGCTCGCACTGAACAGACCCACAAAGAGACTCTATGAGGAAATCTCACAGAGAGTATCATTAGAGTACTCTCTTTATATTTGGGTATGTCTTTCCTTAGACCAGAAGTTATTACCTAGACTGTGTTCTAGAAGGCATGCTTTGACTGTATACCTTGTCTGCCTGAAACATGGAGACTCATAAGTATACTGTTGGGCTTGTCCTGAAAGAGCACAGGGCTAGGGTGATAAGCTGAAGGAATTCGTCAAAACTCTGTGAGAGATTAGGTTATCTGTAAACCGGAGAAATCGGGATGACATTTACAGGGACTCGGGAATCTATGCATAGTAAAAGAGATCATGAGATGATCTGCCTTTAGAGTCAGTAAATTGAAGATTCCCTATTTCGAATAAAGCTTACCCTAAACCGCAAAGGTTGATACATTTCCTTACCCTAGGTTAATGGGAAGGTAACCGATACGAAGGGAAATACATACGGCAACCAAATATGTGTAATAGGATGATCAATTCATTAATCTAACTAGTTCTGGGGCAACAAAGCATTGCTAGTGCTCTGTGTTGTCATTAGATGGGTTGTGGGCTTATTGGGCCCAAACTCATTTATGTCAGTGGCTATGTTGGACCTAATGGGTCACACGCTAACACCTAATTGTCTAGATGAACTAGCATTAAAGGTATTGGGCCAAATAATGGTCATTAGTCCAAGAAGTAGTTTGGAAGTCCACCTTGAGGGTGGAGGGCGAATGGATCACAGTAATGAGCTTGGATAGTCCAAGACACTACTAATTAATTTAATTGGTTAAATTAATTATCAAACATTTAAATTTTGAATTTTGGAATTGGAATTTTTAAATTTGAATTTTGAATTTGAATTTTGAAATTCGAATTTTGAATTTGAAATTTGAATTTTGAAATTTGAATTTTGAATTCGAATTTTGAAATTTGAATTTTGAATTTGAATTTTGAAATTTGAATTTGAATTTTGAATTTGAATGTTTGAAAGTTTTAATTTGAATGTTTGAATATTCGAATTTAAATATTTGAATTCAAATTTGAATTGGCTATGAAAAGTTGTTTCATAACAAAAGGATAAGATAAGATCTTGTTGGAACAAATCACTAGTATCAAGAGGAGATCTTTTGGACATGATCCAAGAAGATTGGGGCGCTGATTTTGGCTGTTGGTGAGTGTCATTTAGTCATCAAAATCAGCTCCAAAAGATACGGTCTGTTAGGAGAATATTTGAGTGAGTTGATTCAAGTTTGAATGCAACTACTCAAACGTATCTGGACTCCTTTTGGGACTGAATGGGGCGCACAGTATGAGTGGGTCATGTGATGACCATCAGGTCAGAATCTTGATTAGATAAAGACCTTATCTCATAAGGATTCAATGGAGAGGTTGTTGGGAGTTTCGAATTGCAACAACTCTTTTATCTCCTCATTTGTTGTGCGCCACTTTCATGGGATTTTGAAGTGAAAAATCTGATTTCACTTATTTATTCCCTCACTCTCTTGTGCAATATATAAGTGTGTTCCTCCTTAGGGTTTTTAAAGTGAAAAAACCTAGCCATTCTCTCCTCCTTCCATGCGCCACCTTGTGAGGTTTTCTCTCTTAAAACATCACTCTTCTAAACACATTTGCCTAACCTCCTCTTTCATACATTGAGCGCATAGCAAGCCTCATTGTGGTGATCAATTGGTGGTTCTACAAGAAGGAGTTCTTGCATCTAGACGCGTGTGGTGTGGATCAACGTTAGAGGGTTTGAACCCTTCAAACCTGACCTTGATCATCCTGAAGTTTCACGAACAAGGTATAATATACGTCTTAAAGCACGTATCTTGATGTGCATGTGTGTTCCGCTAGCGAAATTTTTTTTTTCCCTATCACATGCCTCGACCTTCAAGGTCATTTTACTTTCAAGTGGTGTCAGAGCCCAGTTGCTTTACTATCGGCGGGTGATGGTACTTTGTTTGTGAGAATGCTTTTCACGGTTAAAATTTTTTTAAAGAGTTAAAGATTCAATTTTTACATATGGATTTTAATATACAATGCTTTAAATCGTTAAAGTTATCGTTTTTATGAACATGTTAATATGATTGCTATGTTCATATATCCATATGTGCTCATGGTTATTTTTCTCTTTCTTTATGAAAGTTTTAAAAGGAAACACCTTTTGGAAAGGTAGAGTTCGACCATGAAGGGTATTTTAAATACCTTGATTGTTTTCTTATTTTCTCCATGAATTGTATCATGATCAAAGCATGAAATTTTTTTCGAAAATTTGCATCATATGCATATGTATATGGTTCGGCCATTAAGGTGTTTATGGCTACATGCATGGTTTAATTTTGTGTTCTTTGAGAAAGAGTCAACAAAATTTGAATTATATTGATTGTTATATATAATTCGACCAAATAAGGAATTAAGAAAATTTGAATTTGAATTTTTGTGTTGATGTTTAATTCTTAAATATCAAGACATATGTGAGAAGCATATTATATGATAATATTTTGTACTTGTAAGTTGTCTAACATTTCAGGTGCAAAAAGGAAGGGGATGGTCATGGTGCCCGAAATTTAAATTTCGAATTTTAAATTAATGTGTAATTTTGCTCTATTTAATTAGAGTTGTAATTTGTTTTTTAAATTTTGTATTTTAAGTTTGTCCCTCCAAAGATGTTTTGGAGTTTCTTTAATTATTTGTAATTAGAAAAATTAGGCTAGTGGCGTTTAGACGACAAGAAGCCGTGGCTTGAGAAGCAAGATGGACAAATGAGCGAGCACCATGACTATCTCAAAATAAAAATTGTTTTATTTGCATGTATGTTTTGTACGACTAGCATGCATGAGATAATATATCGCGATATGTATGCTTTGTGGCTTAAGACGTCTAGTATGCATGAAATTGGACAAATCGCGTTTGTATGTATTATTATGCACGTCCAATTACGACTAGTGTAATTCGATAGATGTTTGACATAGGATACGACTAGCATGATAATAATACTAATGCGTTTGATGAGACCTAATAAAACCCTAAATAAAAGGAACCCTTAAAAGGAATAAATTATTAAGCATATGATTACCTCCCACCACCAATATTACTCGAACCTCCTCTACATAGTGGTGCTCCACAACTCAGTTGGGACCCACTGTTTTGTTGAGTAAGAGTAGTATTAGAAGTGTAAGACACTTAGGGTGCTGGTTAGTGCTTAACTGAGGCATAAGTTGCAGGCTCAGCCGGGCTTATGTGCTTAGGGTAATGATACTAGGTTGGTTGCATGAGATGCACCACTAAGTGACAAAGAGTTGTTAACCTAATGTTAAGAGAGGGTATGTGATACTGTTGATAAGGATCAACCCATTATTTAAATTAATCTTGCGGTCACAGACGGGGGTTAAAATAAGTAATCGCACTCTTAATCTCACTAAGGTAAAATCTAAAAGTAGATTAACCCTAAAGTCAATTGGTAAGGGTCATTGACTTAGATAAAATAGTGGGAGGGGCAAATTATTTAAAGTCTTTAATAATTTGTTATTTACTACATGTCCATATATTAATTAAAATTATCTTTACATCGTTTCAGTTTTAGTATGACTAATCCACTGTCACTGCGCTCAATACTCGAAACGAACAAACTGACCGGTTCAAATTTCGTGGACTGGTATCGGAACTTGAGAATTGTTCTTAGGGCCGAAAAGATAGCTTACGTTCTAGATTCTACATTACCCGTAGCTCCTAAGGAAGGGGAAAATGGGTTCGCGGAATTTGATTTCGAGGCCTACCAACAGCACATGGATGACAATATATTGGCAGTCTGCATTATGTTGGCATCCATGTCGCCTGAACTGCAAAGGCAGCATGAGCACATGGATGCTCCCTCTATTATCCTGCATCTCAAGGAGTTGTATGATATTAAAGGCAGGCATGAAAGGTATGAGGCCTCTAGAGAATTGTTCTCTTGTAGGATGTCTGTGAGCAGTCATGTTCTTAAGATGATCGGA